AACTCATAATTTCAAAATTTAAAAATAATCACCATATTGTTATTAATCAGTTTACTGAATAGCAAATAGTACAAACTTCCAAACATACCTTTTAACTTCTCTTCAAGTCATGACTTGATTATGTCATCTTAACTTCTGCCATGAACAAAAATTCAGTCCCTGTTTGCTCTATCATATGCTTAAGCAAAATCTTTCCCTTTTTTCTTCATATTATAGGGACAGAAACACGCTATTGCATTTTGTCTCATTAGCTTGATTATTACAGATATTTACTGTTTCTAAAATAGCATTTTCTCTTCTAAATATAAATGCATTTTTATCAATTTTTCTTAACTTGTGGAAATTCTATTAAACATAGAAGAATTTCTTTAATTTGTACCTTCCTCTTTACCAAACCAATTCTTGGAATCATAACTACCCCTGCAAATAATTTTCCATTTTTCGTTTTCTTCCTAAAGGTCCTTTCCCTATGTTTATACAAAGTTAGATACAGGAACACTTAGGAAGCTCAAGACAGAGACAGTGTGTATATGTGGTATGATTTTATACAGCAAAAGAATCATTGTGCATTTTTTAAATGAACATTAAAAGTACATTAATGAACATCAAGAATTACTAGGGAGCTCACAGACCAGTGTCAGTATACTGTCTTCAACTAAAGCAAGTGACTAAAATGTAAATACAGAAGACAAAGCAAGAACAGTTCATAAACTGTGGCTGGTTAACTTCCACTGCCAAGATAGAAATTGAAAAAAATATCTATCTATCTAGTTGAGCTGAGTAGAAGTTACCTCTGTAGCTCTGAGTTACTATAACACTCACTTCCTTAGTTTCAGTCACTTGCCTTACGTGAAGATAGAATTTCTGTGGGTTTTTGGGGTGGTTCAGGCTGCGCTTGCTTTGACCAGGGCTACATCTGTGTTCTTTTCACCAGGCAACCTGCTATCTTACGGGTGTAGGCAGATGACCCTGAGGAGTAAGCCATACCAAACAAACGAAGGTTATCTACAGTTGTGATGGCTTTAACTATCAAGTAATGGTTTTTATTTCATATTACCCCTCTGTTTTCATCATTTCCTCTAGTTGCTAAGAAAATTTATAAAAATTTTATCGTAACTGAAAAACTCAATTACTATACCTCTTCTATTTTCTTAGGAGAAGTTTCACTTTTATTACTTTTGAATTCTTCATTTATCTTTTTTCTGGCTGCTAGAGAAAGAAAAATACATACATTTATTTGCTTTTCTAATTTATAATTCCTGTCCCAACAATTTACATGTTCTTCATTTTGAATGACTATTTCACTAGTAGAGGAAATAGTTTTGCTCCATGTAAAACAAAGTATAAAAATAAGAAATTTAACAAAGTCTCTTGGAGAAGTTTTGACAGGCTGGCAAATTTGTAATTAAACCTCATATAAACCTTTAGCACTCTAAAACTTTTGTTTCCTGCTTTTTACTTCCAGTTTCATTTGTGTACCTCTAGCTATTAGATTCCAATAAATCTAACTTAATGCATTGTTTCTATAAATCTCAGGATTTAAATTAAAATGCTTTTTTAAAAAATGGCAAAACTCCAGGCCAGCCCTGGTGGCCTAGTGGTTAAGCTGGGCACACTCCACTTTGGCGGCCTGAGTTCGGTTCCTGGGAGTGGACCTACAGCACTCGTCTGTCAGTGACCATGCTGTGGTGTTGGGTCACACACAGAAAGAGGAGGACTGGCAGCAGATGTTAGCTCGGGGCGAATCTTCCTCAGCGAAAAAAAAAAAGGCAAAATGCAATACATATAAGCATGTTAAATCATACACACACACACACGCAATTAAAATAAAGTTATGGTAGCAAAGAGGAGATATATATATATAAATTTGAGTGCCTTGGTTGACATGTAAAGTGACTGAAAAATAAAAATTTTGTTCATTACACCATTGAGACTTTGGCATCATCATAGCACCATAATTTAGTCTAATCTAACTGACAAACTGCCTTATTGTGTTGCTGTGAGCATTTAACTGAACGATCCATGTAAAATGCTTAGTAAATATGCAATGTTAGCTATTCTTAAAATTATTTCACTTAAAAATATTTAAAGCAAGCGGGAAGGTATGAGATTTCATCACGTTACTCAAAATGGTGGGCAATTTAAATCTTATGGATAAGGGGGAGCTACGCTGTCTGGTCGTTGAGAGTGTGAAAATTTGATTATATAATACAGAGATGCGATTAATGGCTTGAACATAACGCAAGCAATGGAGCACACTGAAATTCTGATCCTTTTTTTTCCTGATTCTTTATGAAAACTTGATCTTTTAAAATTTTTCTTTAAGTAGATACTCCTCAAAGAAGTGTAATATAAACTCATCTTTACATTATGACATTAGGGGAGAGATAATGAAGGTCATTCTCTAAGATGGGTCCTGACCATACAGGGTCTCTTGGATATATTAGCAGCCATCTCAAGAATAGACTTGCTCCAAAGGGGCAAAAAGTAAACTTACCTTCTAATGCTCTGGCATCATTTTTAAAAACTTGTTGTCTGGTCCTGTGCAATGTTTTAAAGAGCTGTAAAACCTGTAAAGAAAATCAGAATTCAGACCTCAAAAGAAAAAATTTCATATTTTACATAACTACAAGGATTAAACAGCATTTCTTTTCTGTTTGTTACTTAGACTATTTTTCAAAATAGCTAGTGAAAACCAGGGTTTGCTAAAATAACTTTCCCTTGATTATTTATCTTTAAATTTAAAAAAATTAGCTCTATTTACAAAAATAATACAAAGTTCTTTTAAACAAAACAATACAAGGATGGTTAAAAAGTTAATAATCTCCCTGCCTAAAACCACTTTGCTAAGGTAATCAACTTTACCAGTCTGTAAAGTACTTATTCTCACTTTTCTTAACATATTGAGGCCTTCATCTGCTCTTAAAGTCGTATACACATATTCACAAACTCATGAACTTGTTATATCTTAAGAGAGCCCAGAAGGAGGGTGTTTTAGATAATTTAGGCAAGTTTAATTGTGATTTCTCAAAAGAGAAGTGGAATGCTGAGACTTATGAATATTCTAAGACTGTGGTAAAAAAACAGAAAAGATCCTGGTATTTTGGTAGAAGATAGATTGTGAAGAGGCTTTAGTGATAGGCCGAGGCCACCTCACACTTCTCAAGTCCAAAAAGGTGCTCAATGTTGTTCCCTCAATATTGCTCTTTCTCCTGTCTTTTCAATTTCAGTTTTGGAAGACAGCAAATATCTCAAGCCAGAAATCTCTAGGACATTCTTTATATCTACTTTACTTTTCATATAGAAACTTTACGAATGTCTCTCTAATCTTTTACATATTCTCCATTCCCCAAAACTAGTTAAGTTCAGATCCCCCCCATCTCTTGCTTAGACCACTTACAAACATTTGTCACTCTGCCACCATTCCCTCCTTTCCTCCAGTCCATCCATCAGATAATAATATCTAACATTTACTGAGTATATCCTGTGTGCTAAGCATTCTTTTAAGTATTTTACATCCGTTAAAAAACAGATAACATCAAAGGCAGACACCAAATCAGAAACAGGAAACAGAGAGGAAAAAATGTAAAAATAAAACAAAACAAAAACCAAACAACCACAATCAGCTTCTTCAGAAACATAAGTTATTGCAAACACGGAATAACAACAAAAAGAAGCTATAGTAAATTAAAAAAGGAACATTCAGAAAACTCCCAAAAGCTCTTGGATATCAAATGAGTGATAGCAAAGATTAAGTTGTGAAAAATTGCCCAGAAAGTAGAATAAAAATTCAGAGATAGAAATTGAGGGGAGAAAAGATAAGAAAATTAAGGGAATAGTCTAGATGGCCCAACAGTTACATTAACAGGATCGCCAGCAAGAGAGAATAAAGAAGACAGATGGAAGAAATTAAAAGGGAAAAAAAAAATCAAGAAAATTTCACAAAGTAAGGTACGTGAGCTACTGGATTGAAAGGACTCCTCCACCCAGTGCCCAACACAAAACCCATACCACAGCACACTATGATGTAAGTTCAGCACAATACTAACAAAAAGAAAAATCTGAAAGGAAAAAAACAGTTCACATACAAAACATGGAAAATCAGAACGGCACCTGACTTCTAAAGAGCATCACTGTGAGAAGACAATGGTATAATATCTTGAAGTTCTGAAAAAAATGTCTAGCTTAGAGTACCATTCATAGTCAAATCATAACACCTAACTACAAAGGCAAATAGACATTTCCAGAAATGCAAAGTCTCTTATCTGCCATACACCTTTTACTGGAAAGCTATGGAAGTATGTGGTCCACCAAAACAAGGGGATGAGCCACAAAAGAGAAAAAACATGGGAATCAGGGAGACAACTGATCCAACATAGGAGAGGCAGAGATGATGGTGAAGGACAAATACAGGTCAGCATTTGTGCAGCCAGCATAGAAAGCAACTAGTCTGGACTAGAGCAAAAGGTTGAACTGCTCCAGAAAAGATGTTGCTAGGAAAAGAATGAAATTGGTAGACTTCAGTTTTGCTCTGAGTTTGGGAATAGATATGAAGGAAACTAACCAATGATAATAAAAAAGCAAGGCAGTTATTAATTTCAAGAAAAACTAAGAATTAGAAAAGAAAGGCAATGTAATCATATAGTATTATATTAGAAGGCTCAGCTGTGGACAGGTTTTTTAGAGTCATCATAATATCAAAGATGAACACCGATTCACCAAAATTTATATATTGAGAGGAAGAGGATGTAAGGGGAGCTCAGTCCCCAACTTCCATAGTTAAAAGTGAATAAATAATATCTCCAAAGAGAAAAAAAATCAATAGCAGTTTAAACATGTTATTTAGAAACATAGAGGTAAATATCAGAAGAAATAGCTAAAATGATTAAAAGTGCTTATCTCTGGGGAGCAGGAATTGGGGGCATGTAGAAGGAAGTAGACACTTACTGGTTTCTGTGTAACACTATTTGACTTCTTAAACTTTAAACATTTATCACCTTTATAAAAACTAAAACATTTATTTTAAAAAGAGAAAAGGAAAGGACACTATAAAAAAAAAGACAACTTACAGAATGGGAGAAAATATTTGCAAATCATGTATCTGATAAGCAGCTAGTATCTAGAACACATAAAGAACTTTTATAACTCAATAAAAAAAAGTAATTTGAAAATAGGCAAAGGATCTGAATAGACATTTCTCCAAAGAAGATAGACAGATGGCCATTAAGGCCATGAAAAGATGCTCAATGTAATTTGCCATCTAGGAAATACAAATCTAAATCTCAGTGAGAAACTATTTCACCCCAGTAGGATGGCTACAGTCAAAAGGACAGTGAATAACAAGTATTGACAAGGATGTGGAAAAACTGTGACTCTTATACATTGTTGGTGGGAATGTAAAACGGTACAGCTGCTTTGGAAAACAGTTTGGCAGTTGCTCAAAAAGTTGAACATAGAGTTACCATATGACCTAGCAATTCCATACCTAGGTACATACCCAAGAGAAAGGAAACATATGTTCACAAAAAAACTTGTACATGAATGTTCATAGCAACATTATTCATAATAGTCAAAAAGTAGAAACAACCCAAATGTCCATCAACTCATGAATGGGTAAATAAAATGTGGTATATCCATATTGTTATGCCTTGAATTATGTCCCCTCAAAAGACATGTGCAAGTTCTAACCCCCAGTACCTGTAAATGTGACCTTATTTGGAAACAGGGTCTTTGTAGACGTAATCAAGCTAAGATGAGGTCATCAGAGTGGGCCCTAATCCAATGTGACTGGTATCCTTAAAAGAAGAGGAAAATGCCATGTGAAGACAGAGACACACAGGGGGAAGACTGCCACGTGAAGACGGAGGCAGAGATTGGAGTGACGCAACAGCAAGCCAAGGAGCACCAAGGACTGACAGCCTCCCAAAAGCAAGCAAGAAGTAAAGTTTCTACCCAGAGCTGCAGAGGGAGTATGGCTCTGCTGGCACCTTGACTTCAGACTTCTAGCGCCCAGAACTGTTAGACAATAAATTTCTATTATTTTAAGCCACCTAGTTTGTAGTACTTTGTTAGAGCAGCCATAGGAAACTAATACAGATTTTAGTACTGGGAAGTGGGGTTCTGCTGTAACAAGCAACAAAAATGTGGAAGTGGCCTTGGAAGTGGCCTTGGAATTGAGTAATGTGTAGAGGCTAGAAGAATTCTGAGGGTTTTGTTTGATACCAAAAGCCAAGATTGCCTTGAAAAGACTCTTGGTAGAAATGTGGACTTTAAAGGTGACAGAACATCATAGAAACCCAGGCAATTCAATATTACAAGAGCGGTGGAGAACAGATTGCATGGGATTAAGAAGAAAATGAAAGGTAAGTAAACCTAATTGGTTTACATGCTATTTCGGGGGGAAAAAAAAAAAAAAGAAAGTGATTCCATTAGTATAACAACCAGTAACCCTAATTTAAGAACTACTTTAAGAAAAGTCATCGTTACCACCTTGGAGCTATTGGAGCTAATATCACCTTGGAGTTAAACTTTTATTAAAATGCAGAGAGCTAGGTCATACATTATCTTCTCTTCCTCATTTACTTACACTGATTGGACAAATTTAGGCAGTGTATACGGAAAGTGGATTACTTTACAGTCAGATCAGTTTGAATCTGACATTGACACTTACTGTAAGCTTGGACAAGTTACTTAGCCTTTTTGCCTCAATTTTCTTGAATAATGGGCTAATTTCAAGGGTGTGTGGTATAATTTCTGTACTAGTCATTACTTACCCATCTCTTCTAAGTCTGGGTTATATTCCCCTCCTGAGTACACCCACAACACTGGGCACTTTGTATGTTAATTAAATGCTTACTCACCGTTGTTGTCCCATACTTCCTCAAAGGCCTCTTGGTGACCCCCCCCTCCACACATACCATACATGGTAGGCCTTGCCAAAAGTGTTTTTGAAATGCACCCTATTTAATTTCATTTGTATTCAAGTTTTCAAACAACTTCCCACTTCAAGGATGTTCCATATGCTACCTCCTCTTTCTGGACTACTCTTCTCTCTTCTCCTAGCTAATTTCTAATCAAACTTCAGGTCTCAATTTAACTTATACTTCTATGAGAGGTACTTCTTTTTTGCATCCCTCCAGATAGGTTAAAATCCCAGTTACATGCTCACAAAATACACTGTATTTTCAATTCAAAGCACTTACTACAATTGCAATTAAGGAATTGTTTAAAATCTCCCTTCCTGCTAGACTTCTGTGTGAAGGCAACGGTGGTCTATTTATTGTTGCATCCATTATGCCTAGATAGTATAGGCTAAATGTTGGCTGTTAGGTATTACTAATAGCTATGATGGACACTCAATAAATTCTTTGAATGAACAACCCTTTACATTTCTGTTTCTACTGGTGGTGTGACATACATTAAAACGTACTGAGAACACCAAGTTCCCTCGTACATGAGGTACCGCTTGGTGGCTCCCTCTTATTGACCAACCATAAGCACTGCTTTTCCTCACTATATTGTAGCAGCTCATTTTCCCCTTTCCATGTCTATGTTTCAGCCAATGACAGGGACAGGCCCGAACCGGCCATGCTGATGATATTTAAGGTTAGGGATGGCTGGTCCCCGAGAATTGTGCATCAGTTTCACGAGAAACAAATCTGTGACCAGGTCCTCAGGGATGTGACGGGGGCGGGGCCGTCACTTCCCAAGCTCATTCGGAGCACTCAAGTCTCAAGGGTCCTCTGCTCTGTCCCGCTAAGTGTTACTTTTGGCAAGTGATTTTGCCGGGGCTCGGTTTCCTTGGTTCCTAGACTTCCGTGTAGCTTCTGGTTATTTGACCAAATCTTTCACCTCATCGGTAGGTTGCAGCGCAGGATTGCCTTTGGCGTCTCGTACACTTCCCAAAGATGTTTAATGGGTCCCTCAGACAAATACTCGGTGTGGAGCTGAAACGGGGGCAGAACCCAAGTCGCGGGCTTGCATCACGGATAAACGCTCGGTACCCCGGCAGACTAAGAAGTAGGAACCACTGGTGCCCCCCTTCCTCCTCCGCACCTGCACAAACAATCGACCGCCCTTCGGGGCTGGTCACCGGGCTGCTCAGGGGAAACGGCCACATCCTTCGTGGAGGGTCCTGAACCTCAGCTACAGAGACTCCGAACAACCTTCCCAAAGCCGCGCTCTTACCCTCCCCGCCAGCATCGCATCCAACCCCTCCCCGGGCCCTGTCACCTTGGCCGCCTGACCCATAGCTCTCCTCGCCGCTGCGGCTACCTCTCATGCGGTCAGGCCGCCCCGCCTCTCGGCGACCAATCACCGCCTGGCTCGGACTATCTAACTCTCTAGAGCCACGATCCTAACGCGCCGCAACCAATCACCAAGCAGCATCTCCTTTGTAGCCCCGCCTTCCGCGGAGGCACAGGGGAGAGCAGTCGGCCAAGCCGGTGCCGTCCGGTAAAACCGCGATAAGCCGCCGCGCCCAATTATTGGAGAGGAGAACGGAAATCTCCTGGACGCCATGTTAGTTAGGGGCAGAGTCACTTCCGGTTTTTTCTGAGGCCAAGTCGGGCGCCGGAGAAAGGCTTGACGTTTAATGGATGGCGTCGGCACCTATATGTCATTATCTCCTGTTTGGGAGTTGGGGTTATCTATTAAAGAACCCTTATTTTAATGTTTCCCAGTTGCGACTGTCTCCTTGCAAAACTGCATAAATAAGAGCCAAGCCCTAACAACTACAGCAGACATTGGCTGGAACGCTGACTCCTAAAAGTGCTATTTACACATTCTCTCATTTAATTCCCCCAGAAGGTGAGGTTGAGTTACTTGCTCAAGACCACACGGCTAGTAAGTGGAGGTCTGGGATACAAATCCCTATGTCTAACCAGAAAGCCTACTCTTACCCTCTACATATCCTGCCTACTCAACTTGCCCTCCTCCTTGGCTTTGCTGGTGGAGAGGTTGGAAATGGATAGTTTGTTAGCAGCGTCACGATCATAAACAATCATAAAGCATTTATTTAAGTACGTTTTAACTTATGACCTTGCAAGCATCAAGAAAAATCTCAACGTTGTTCCAGCTGCATAGTCGTTGTTTGCCTTCCCTACCCCCACAACCTTTCAGGTTAACTTTTAGGTAAAAAAAAAGAAAATGACTTTTTATTAGGAATGAAAGATTTGTACCAATGGATCTCCAAGACCTTTTTCATTTTCTCTGATTTACGTCATTTTAAAGAATATTGCAAGTCATCATGAGATTAGCAAGATAGTAGTCAACTTTTTTTTTTTATTAAAATGTATTAGACTTGCAGAAGAGTGTTTAACACAAGCAATTAAACCAAACATATTGGGTACTTGTATCCAGGAAACAATAAATCAAGTGATCTTGTGACATTGCATTGTAGTGCCTTCTGATTGCTAGTGAACAATTAAAAGATGCTTATTTTCATTTCCAGTTTAGAATCATAGCCCAATTTCCTAAAAATTTGTAATTTATTGTAATAATTTCTGGCTAAGTCGGTTCCTGTATTCAGTTTACCAAAACCCTGCATATGCCAATATTGAAAATATAGTTCTCATAGTGCCAAAATCAGTTCAGTCCTGAAGCTTCTCTTCTCGTAGATAAATCTGTATGGTTCCTTTGGCTGTTCCATAAATGAAGTGATTATTCTGGTTGTTTTGGGACTATGTACTGGTTTGTTGGTATCTCAAAGTGTGGAACCCAGAAATGAGCAGGAAATTCCAGCATGTTCATCATGTAAGTCCATGGAGCTATGTGGTAGTCAGAATAATGGCCTCCAAAAGATGTCCCTGTTTAAATCCTAGGAGCTTCTGAATATGTTACCTTCTTTGACAAAAGGGACTTTGCAGGTGTGATTAAATTAAGGATTTTGAGATGGGAAGATTATCCTGGATTGTCTAGTGGGCCCCATGTAATCACAAGGATCCTTGTAAGTGGAAGAAGGAAGCAGAGTCAGGGAGAGGTTTGAAGATGCTCTGCTGCTGGCTTTAAAGATGGAGGAATGGGCAACAAGCCAAGGAATGCAGGAGGCCTCTCGAAGTTGGAAAAGGCAAGGGAACCATTATCCCGTAAAGCCTCTGGAAGGAATGCGGCCCTGCTGACACCATGATTTTGGCCCAGTGAAACCCAGTTTGGACTTCTGACATCCAGAATGCCATCTGCTTGTGGGTCCTTCCATCATCAAAGCCAATAGGAGAGCATCCTGAATCTTTGACTCTCATCCCTGCTTCCATCATCATATCTCCTTTTCTGACTCGCACTCTCCTGTGTCCCTCTTTCACTTATGAGGGCTCCTTTGATTATAATGTGCTCACCTGGATAATCCAGGAATCTCTCCACCTTAAGATCCTTAACTTAATCACATCAGCAAATCTCCTTACCATGTATAGTAACATATTCACAGGCGCCAGGGATTAGGACATGGGCATCTGCTTACCACACCCAGTTAGGGTGAAGCTTGTTAATAAGGTTGAAATGAAAGGAAATGAAGCAGGAGAAGCAGCCATGGGTTTGATCTCATAAACTGAGGCAAGGATTTTGGATTTAATTCTGTGATGAAATGCCTTACCAGCAGGAGAGTAACATCATCATTTATATTTCATAAAGATCATTTTGGGTGCTGTGTGGCAAATTGCCTATAGTGGAAGCAGAGAGGCCAACTATGAGGCTGTTGAAGTACTCCACGTAAGCTATGACAGTGGCTTGGATTAGAGTGATGGAGTAGAGGAGGTGAGAAGTGATTAGATTCATGATATGCGTTGAAAGTACACAGAGAAGAGTTAAGGATGATTTCAAGGCTTTTGGCTTGAGTAATTGGGTGATGGTATTACAGTAGAATTAGAATGCAGCAGGAGGAGGATTTTTGTTTGTTGTGGAGGGAGTAAGAATAGATTTCAAGTGCCTGGTAGACATCCACATGGAGATGGTGCAGTAGTATGTACCATAGACCAATCTGGAATTAAGGGGAGAGGTAGGCCAGGAGATAAATACTGGAGAGTCATTGCTTTGTAGATGATAAAGCCTCAGATTTCGTGAAAGGAGACCATATTATTTATTATCTAAGTTAGTACATATTTTTTTAACTTTTTATTTTCGCAATTTCAGTCTTACAGAAAAGTTGCAAGAATGATAGAATTTGCATATACCTTTCACTCAGATTCCCCAAATGTTAACATTTTAACTACAATTGCTCTATCCTTTTTTATCTATTTATCTATATATGGACATATTTTTTTTGTATCTTTTTACTGTTTGAGAATGAGTTGCAGACATGATACCCCTATACTCCTACATACTTCAGTGGGTTTTTTCCTACAAAAAAAGACATTCTTTTACATGAGTGGTTCTCAAAATATGGTTCCAGGGCCAACAGCAACCGCATCACCTGGAAACGTGCTAGAACCTAAACTATAGGGCCCCACCCCAGATCAACTGATTTTGTTAATTTTGCTGTGGTTATGTGAGGACATATTAACATGACTTTCAAAACTATTATCTAATTTAAAGGCATTATTTAGATTTTGCCGATTGTCCTAGTATTGTCTTTGATAGCAAAAGTACCAAATGGGACACTTTTGAGAATAAAGGAAGCCACTATCACTAATTTCACCAGGACAAAGTGGTAAAGTATAATCATATAGGGCAGTCCAGGAGGTATAGTTAATTTTTCTTAATAAGGACACTTGGAGATTAAGTGTTACCTAGAGAAGAGGGCCAAGAACAGAACCCATTGAGAGATCTGGAATAGGAGGCTCACTTGAGGGAGAATAGCATCCAGAGGTAGGAAAGTGAAGACCATTACTGAAAAGAGGGAATGGTCAACAGTGGCAAACGATGCCAAGAGGTCTAGAATGATGAGAACTGGAATTCCCTAGAGGATTTTGTAATTGGAGGTCCTTAGTGACCTTGACAAGAGGGAAATGGGTTCAAAAAAGAAAGATGAGAAAGTGCACACAATATATAGAAAATTCTTTTAAAAAGGAGCCAAGACATGGAGGGATACCTGGGGTTAAGGAAAGTTTTGTGCCTTTAAGGTGGGGCATCTTACATTATGTTGATCACTGCTGGGAAAAATTCTTTGTAGATAAATCCACGGAGGTTTACAAACTACTGATGCCTAGGTCTCAACCCCAGAGTCTGATTTAATTGATTTGGCATGCAGCTAAATTCACAGAGATTTTTATTGATCTCATAATAGTTTATAATATTGTGAAATTTCAGTTGTACATTATTATTTGTCAGTCTCACAGGGATTTTAAAAAGCTCCACAAGTGATTTTAACGTGGTCAGGTTAACAACCACTGCTACAGGGAGAAAAAAATTGATGCAAGGAGCGCTTACTTGCTGGAGCCAAGACCTTATGTAGCTGAAAAATGAAGCCTTACGCTGCTTCAGCCAGCAAACATGGCCAGCACTGCTTGGATTATCAAATCTTTTCAGTTATAGTATGCAATGTTTTCCTACAAGCGTCCATAAGGCAACTGAAGAAGGGCTTACACCAGTCACTCCACTCCCCGAGACGAGAAAGGGAGAAAGAAAAACAATCTCAGCCTGGCTCCCTGGAGGCTGGGATTAGGAACCTCCCTTCCGCCGGGTCTCACCGGGCCGTTTGCCTGGGGCTCGGGCACGCCCACCGCACCCGAAGCGCCGGTCGTCAGTGCGCACGCGCAGGACCAGCTCAGCCGCGAGCAGCGGTCCACGCGCAGGCTTGGCCGCGCGCTCCCGCCCTCAGCCTGTTCCCCCGCCTCCTCCCTCCTCCTCGACCTTTGCTCGCTGTGGCAGCGCGGGAGGGACGCCGAAATGGCAGATGAGATCGCCAAGGCTCAGGTCGCCCGACCTGGTGGCGACACGATCTTCGGGAAGATCATTCGTAAAGAAATCCCAGCCAAAATCATTTTTGAGGATGACCAGGTAGGCACGAGGCGCCCGTGGGCTGAAGCTGGGCAGCCGCCCGTGGACACGGGGGTTTCCCACGGAGGGAAGGGAAGGGTCGGGCGGCGCTGCGCAGACGGGAAGGGACCGGGCCGCCCCGCGCGGCCTCTGCCGCGGGCCCCCAGCCAGCGGGCAGGGCCGCGGCCGCTC